ATCACCATCAGTGCTGGATGCATGTGCCGACAAGGCATTGACGCCAAGCACGCCAAGAACCAGCGTTGCTTTCAAAGCGGAGAAAAATTGGAGATGCGCGGGATTTCGAGCAAGTCAGATGTTATGGTTTGTGCACGGGTCAGTGATCCTTATCAGCGGAAATTGCCATGCAGGGGGGTGGGTATTGCTGCCATGCGAACTGGGGAGTGAATGGTCCCATGTGCTCATGTCATCATGGAAGAGACTGGGGAGGTAATTATGGCTATCGAGTGAATACTCGATCTCGAGGCTATAAAAGCGCTATGTGATCCGGTTGGAGGAGGAATACACATAGTCCAACTTCTACGCACAAGTGCAGATGCGAATTATCAGCACAATGCATTTCACATCTCTGATCCTCACTGCCAGCTTAGTCGCAGCAGCACCCTCGTTCAACCCCCGCGGCAATGGTCACTACTCTAGTCCAGCAGTCACTAACATCCAGGTCGGACCTCGTCCGTACTACCTGGTCGACGCAATGGCCGACAGCCCGCTGAAAAAGGAACTCCAGTCCTGCTCGGAGACGCGTATCAAACACGCGCCCGCCTTCTCCATCTCCCACCGCGGCGGTCCGCTCGAGTTCCCCGAACACACCCGTGAGGGCATCCTCGCCGCCGCGCGCATGGGCGCAGGCATTATCGAATGCGACGTCGCGTTCACCTCAGACCGCCAGCTCGTCTGCCGCCACTCGCAGTGCGACCTGCACACGACGACCAACATCCTCACCATCCCGAGTCTGGCAGCGAAATGCAGCGTCCCCTTCCGGCCCGCCGCGAACGGCAAGTCCGCGACGGCCAAGTGCTGCACCTCCGACATCACCCTCGCCGAGTTCAAGTCCCTCTGCGCCAAGATGGACGGGTACAACGCCTCCGCTACCACGCCCGAGGACTACCAGCACGGCACGCCGGCGTGGCGCACGGATCTATACGCGACATGTGGCACGCTGGTAGAGCACAATCAGTACATCGAGCTGGTGGACCGTCTAGGCCTGCAGTTCACCCCGGAGCTGAAGACGCCGGAGGTGGCCATGCCGTTTGGCGGCAACTACACGCAGGCGATGTACGCGCAGCAGCTCATCGACGACTACAAGGCGCACGGCATCCACCCCTCGCGCGTCTGGCCGCAGTCGTTCCTGCCGGACGACATCTTCTACTGGCTTCAGCATGAGCCCGCGTTCGGCAAGCAGGCGATCTACCTCGATGAGCGCATCGATACGGCCGCCGGATACCAACAGGCCGTGGACGGAATGGCCGACCTCGCTAAGAAGGGCGTGAAGATCATGTCCCCGCCCATCTTTGCGCTGCTGAATACCACTGCGGACGGGGAGATCGTGCCGTCGGCGTATGCGGTTGCGGCGAAGAAAGCCGGGCTGGATATCATTACCTGGTCGCTGGAGCGGTCGGGACCCCTGAAGGCTGCGGCCGCCAAGGGAGAGTACTATATCCAGTCTGTCAAGTCGACGATCACCGGGGACGGGGATATGTATCGCATTGTGGATGCGTTGGCGCGGAAGGTGGGAGTCAAGGGGATTTTCTCGGATTGGCCGGCCACGGTGACGTATTATGCTGCTTGTATGGGATTAGCCTAGATTCCCTTATACTGTACGATAGACTAGCTAGATTCGTTCGCTCAGATCTGCATTGGCTGAGGGTTTCATGTATAGTGATGCTCGAGGGCACGGAGTATAACGTCCTCAACCTCTCATAACTCAGAAAGAAATCCCGAATCAAAATCATCTGTACGAGCATCTCGGCATGGGAGACGTCCTCACGTCAATGATTCCCGAGTAATCTCGAAACAATGATGGAGCTGTGCTAAAGGCTTAACCGCGTACGTGTTTGGCAGCATTTGTGGAATCATGCCCTCCGACGCCTGATTGGCCACGTGCCTCGGTGCCTCTGCAAAGTCTTCTGTTCCAGCCAATCAGACAAACAGAAACCTGTGTGCTAAGAAGCTGCTAGTATCGCTTAGCCTCTGTTCGGTAGTTCATCTTGTGTCCTTGTTTGGTGTCAAGGTGTCAACGGAGTCAGCAAAAGGGTGGTTATCCACTCTGGCGTTGCCTGAATGAGGAGGAAGCGCTAAACATTTCCCCAATGATCAATCAAACGAGCCTCTGTGCTCCGTTGTATCCGTCCCTCCCGAACAGTCCGTTCTACAGAGGAGTATCTATCTGAGTCCGAAGAGGCCGACAGTGAAACGCCAAGAACGATCTGACAAGGCCTCGTCATCTCGTGGGGATTTGTGGAACGCACCGCCGGCGAGATCGTCCTCCAGCAATCCCGGCATCAGCGTTGGAGATCCAATAATGATCTGGAAACCAGCTTACTGAAGACTGAAGCAGTCTCGGCAACGTACCGATCAACGGCTCCTTATTTCCCCTTTTTGAAATTATACAAGCCTTAGACTGTACTAGTTTGACAGGCTGTGATGGATCTGACCCGCATTTTCTTGTCTTATCACTCTGTCGCAACATTAATTGACACTCCCAGTGTCTTTCTCTCTTCCCTCGACTTTTCAAGTCTCTCACAATGCTGCGATGGGCTTCAGCATTATTGTTGCCGCTCTTCCTGCATAATGTGGCCGCACAGCAGCATGATGAGGATCTCATGTCCTTTGTGACGGTAGGCTACTTATGTTTCTTTCTTTTTCTGCCGCCTAACAAACCGCTGCGAGAGATCGATCACCGTGCTAATACGAGATCTGCCACCTCCAGCTTCCTCAAATACGAGCCTTGAAATTCGACGTCCACTACCAGGATCGCGACCGTGTGAGTCCTGGCTATTGGTTCGTCGCTCCGTATGGTCAGATCGAGCCCGAAGCGCCAACCCATCGATTCGAACAGTATCAAGTTGGACCGTATATCTACGATGGCGACGGCACTCTCATCTGGGCTGGATCGCCCATGTTCGACAATCGGAACGTTTTTGATTTTAAAGCGGTCCACAGTATCGGGGATCAGCCGCATCTCTCGTTGGTTTGGCAGCATTCATGGGACTTTGAAGACCAGGGCCATGGTGTGATTCTGAAAAACAACTATGAGATTCAAAATAAGCTCCCCCTCCGGCCGGATTTGGGCTCCTTTGATATTCACGAATTCAATATCCTTGATGACGGCAAAACGGGCCTGGCGATGACATATCGAGAGAACGAGATCGGTCTGGAGGATTTTGGGCGCCCCGAAGAGCGAACGGCGGTCCTGAGCGGTGGATTCGTGCGGCTGGATCTCAACACCGCGGACATCTTGTTCGAATGGGACTCCCTCAACCAGGTTCCCTTACACGAGTCGGTCCACTATGGCCCCGACTCGCCGCCGGAAGGGCGTCCCGGCTGGGACTATGTGCATGCCAACTCGGTCGATATGAATGATGCGGGAGACTACATTGTGTCCTTTCGCTTCACCAACACCATCTACCTGATTTCGGGGGCGGACGGACGCATCTTGTGGCGGCTCGGAGGCCAGCACAGCGACTTTGTGCAGGATTTTACCTTTTCCAAACAGCATGACATCAAATTCGTCGAGTCCAACGGCACTCACCACATCATCTCCTTCCTCAACAACGCGTCCGACGAGGATACAAATGACGAGCCCGTTTCCTGCGCTCTGATTGTGGAGCTCGACACCGCCGTACAACCCATGACGGCCAAGGTCATCCGGCGCTACAACCGCCCCGACGGGGGGCTGACCCGGCTGCGTGGGAACGCGCAGCTGCTTCCCGACAACAACGTTTTTGTCGGCTGGAGTGAACGTGGGTACATCACCGAATTTGCGCCCGAAGGCGAGGTCCTGCTAAGTGCGATGTTCAACTCGACTCGCTACTCGACCTACCGGGCCTACAAGTTCGAGTTCACCGGCCGGCCCAACACGCCGCCCGACCTCGTCGCCTCGGTTGCCGGGACAGACGCTTCCGATCTCGCGACGACGTTTTATGTCAGCTGGAACGGGGCCACCGACGTTGCGCGCTGGAAATTTTACGCACGCGCCGCAGCCAACGCGCCGCCTGTCCTCATTGGAAACACCACCAAAACGAGTTTCGAGACCATCTATATCGCCCACGGATACCTGGACTGGGTCTCGGCCGAGGCGGTCGATCACGCCGGCAACGTCCTGGGGATATCGCGGGTCCATCGGAGCCGCGTGCCCGGCGACTGGGCCACAGCCGGGTTCAAGGGCGAGGCGGCAAAGCTGCATCCTGCCGATCCCTACACTTTGTACTCGCAGAAAGAAGCCGACCAGCAAACCGGTACCAAGACACCCCTCGCTGCCGGGCTCGACGACGCAGATACAAGCGGTAACAGCGATATCACTCCTGTCGACACGGCTGCGGAGGAGGCCCTCCGGATGGCGCAGGAGACGTATGAACTGGTCCGGGACTTTGGGGCTCTGTTCACGTCTGTGTTGCTCCTGTGTCTCGTGGCTGGGATTGTGGCGTGCGTGTATACGGTGCTTCGTCGGCGGCGCACGAAGCCGTACCACCACGTTCCGACTGAGGACGGCCTGCCCGAGGAGCAGATCCGGCTTCGGTCTACGACTCATGAGTGAGTGTTGTACATTCTATTCTGTATATAATATGTTTCATTCGATACCTAAACTTCACACGATGACATGTGCCATTCCCCAACACAACCCTCCGGCTTTCGTATCCTGCATTTATATGGGTGTGGAGGGCGTATAACCTTTGGAGACGCAGTATGTGTCCACATCTGATATCCTCCCAGAAACAGTCGATATGGGCTGATCTATAAACGCAAATCTGATTGGCTGTTGAAATATATGACAGCGCCAAGAGACAGCTTCTTATTCTAGCCAATCAAATCACTCAATTCAGTCCATTCGTTGCTGACAATTGCTTTCTCCTTGAGTCATGTACGATAGCAGTATATAAAGTAAACTACCCAATATCAATTTGCAATCAAATTGCAACCTACATTTACTCTAATTCAATAACTACAGCCTATACAAAATGCTCAACCTCTCCGTCCCCACCGCCCTCGTCCTAATCGACAACCAAGCGGCCTTCTCCCACCCAACCTACTGGGGCACCTCGCGCTCCAACCCCAACTACGAAACCAACCTGCAGTCTCTCCTCAATGCCTTCCGCACAGCCCGACAAACCAACCCCGCCCTCCCCCTCGAAATCATCCACGTCTTCCACTCCTCCACCTCCGCAACCAGCCCACTCCACCCCGCCGACCCCAGCAAAGGCGCGCACCCGCTGGACTTTGCGCAGCCCGCCTCGGACAATTCAGAGCCGGTATTCTGGAAGAACGTCAACTCGTGTTTTATCGGGACGGAGTTGGAGGGGTATCTCCGGGAAAACGGGATCAGGCAGGTGTTGTTTGCGGGGCTGACGACGGATCACTGTGTGTCGACGACGGTGCGGATGGCGGCGAATTTGGGGGTTGTGGATGTTTATCCTGACGGGCGGCCGGAGGTACTTCCTGACGGCAGGCAGAGTGAGAAGGCTGTGGAAAAGGGGGTTGTGGTGCTTGTTAGCGATGCGACGGCGACGTGGGCCAAGGGCGGGTTTGATGCGGAGACGGTGCATGCGGTTTCGGTGGAGAGTCTGAGGGGGGAGTTTGCGGAGGTGATGCGTACGGGGGAGGTAGTGGAGTGGTTGGCTGGAAATTCCCAGATAGGGAGTATTCGCCACTGAGCTGTGGCATGACAGTTGCGGAGATCTTTAGGTTCTTGTATACATGGATACCTCGAGGTCACCGCTTGGGAACCAATGATGGGTTCGTATACCATTGTCCTGACATCATCATGATTGATCTATATATATAAAGAACATGCTGACCTCTGTCTCCAGAATTATGTATTAAGAAAATGATACCTCTTTAGTGAACACACAGTCCCATATCATGTCCCTGAGACCCATCACCACTACTATCCGGACAGCCGTCCGCTTCAGACCCCTCCCCCTCCTCAGAGCCTATCATCCGCCGGAATATCATTCTAACAAGGGCGACAAATGCAAGTCTTCATCACAGCCAGAAGCGTATCACCGCTAATCCATGGTAATGTAGTCTACATCCCGCCCCAATACCCCGACAACTTTGAACTTCCCTCCGTCATCAAGGAGAAGGACAGCAAGGCCCATGAGAGATGGGAGGAGATTGACTCGACAGTAAGCGAGGCATCGGTCAAGGCAGATCGGGGCGATGTCCAATTCGAGGTGAAGCAGCAGGAGGCGAAGAGTACAAAGAAAGCAGTTCGGCCGGACTTTGAGGCTGAACCGACTGTTCACGATATGTGATGTCGCGTCAAGTGTTCCATATGTCTGTCTCGTCTGCGATTGCGACTGCGTCTGCGATTGAGAATGTAACTGTATTGATATCTACTCTTATGTCTATTGAGATTGAACTAATTAAGCTGCCGTTTCCATCTCCCGCACTTCCACCTTCCTGTCTACCTGAACATCTCGAGCATGCTGCCCCGGCGTCACAGTCCGGCCTCCCTTGGACGTCAAGACATCCCCTGTAACTCCCCCCTTGGCAAAGAGTAGCGGGATATCCTCCAGGCCCTTCGTTTCAGGATAGAAGCAGTAGACCATGGGGATGAAGGCGGCATTCAGCACCGCAAAAACAGCCATCCAGTTCCACCCGGACGCAATCGCCTGCATCTTCGTGCGCACCCGCGTGGTATTGATCTCCGCCGGATAGAACCACGGCACAGGCAACCAGCCCACCCCATAGAACAGCTGAAAGACAAAAATAAACGCCGTGGCACCGTACGCGGCCCCCTCACGGTCCAGCGAGAGGAGAATCGAAAACCATCACGAAACACAGGCACAGGCCCGCCGAGCACGAGCGCCAGGTTGCGGCTCATGTGCATGTTCTGCTGGAAGAGGACGGGGGCGTAGTAGTTGATCATGTTGGAGCCGGTGAACTGCTGGCCCAGCTCGATGGAGATGGTGAGGAGCAGGCGGCGGAGGTTCTGCGTCTCGCCGACGGTGAAGAGCTCGGCGAATTTGAGGGGCCGCTGCGCTGTTCTTCCTCGAGGCCGGTTTGGATGTCGAGGAGGGTTCTGCTGACGGTCTCGTCTGCGAGCGGCTTGTCTTCTATCGCGGCGATGACGGCACGCGCCTCCTCGTGCCGGTCGTGCTGGACCAGCCAGCGGGGAGTCTCGGGGAGGCCGATGACCTGGAGGATGAGGCAGGGGGCGAAGACGGACTGGAAGGAGAGGGGGAAGCGCCATTGGAACGAGGACTCGGTGAAGCTGGTCCCGTAGTCCATCCTATCACCTCGTTAATATCATGCATCTAAAGAGAGCGGCAACCTACCAATAGGCAATCACGACCCCCAGAATCGTAACCGTCCCCTGGAGGGTGAGTAGCGCCCCCCCGGATCCGCGCCGGCGAGCATTCACTCTGGTACACTGGCGCCGTCGACGAGTTCATCCCGTTCCCGATCCCCGTGATGATCCGGCCAGCGATAAGCTGCGCAACGAGCCGAGAATCACCGTTCCGAGCACCATGAGCGCCCCACCGGCCATGAGTATCGTGCGGCGTCCGAACCGCTCCCCGATGAAGTAGCAGACTATCGAGCCCACCACGCAGCTGATATCATACAGCGCAGTGATGTCGCCCTGCATTGCGGCGTCGGGGTTGTTGAAGTCTCGGCCGAAGCGGTTTTGTGCGCCGATTATACCGGACATGACCCCTGCTTTCGTCAGGGTGAGTTTAGGAGGAAAGGAAGAGAGGACTACCTTGGTCGAATCCTAGCAGGAGAAAGGCCTGGCAGGAGGCCATAAGGCCTTGCCTCGGAAGCTGTGTTTCAGAGTCGCATGCTGTAGAGCTTCGTGTATAATCGGTAGTCTTGAGTGGAACATATCGAAGCTCGCGGACAAGGCCTGGGATCTATATCTGACCAGTCCCTTCGTGGAATATTGCCCTGACGGCAGTGAGGATTCCCCATAGGCAGGCCAAGACAGATGACGATCATCAGAAGCTTTCTTGCTTTTGATTTAGGAGATAGAGCTGTATGTGGAGACAGCTGTCATAGTGCACATGCACATCTCTGGGCCCTCGGGGTAAAGCCCCGAGTCCGGGGAAGATGTTGCCCGGAATAAAGACAGGCTTGAGGATAACAAATGTGAGGTAATGGTGCTATATCGCAGACCAAATTATTGAACACTCGATATGAGGATATTAGAGTGAACTAAAGGGTATTGGTCAGTGCGACAGCTTATGCTATGGCTGAAAGAAGCTTTGTGGCTTGTCGTACGGAGTTTAATATAGTGGAATGTGATCATATATTAGCCAAGAAAGCTAGTACTCTAGACAGCCATTTCCAATCCATAATAATCCTCCGCAGAATCTTTGACTTAAAGAGTGACAGTCACTACTATTGACAAAGGTTGCTATACAGCCAAGTGCCATGTCAGAGAACCAGCTCTCTGACCTGCTTGCACAAAGACAAGAGAAGATCAAAGCGACAACTAAGAAACAGTGATAGTAGCAGACCCGCTGCTCTCGTATCCCTCTGTCGCAACAATCATATAGTTATAGTCTCCCAACTCCAGACCCGCCCTGGCCTATGCATCGAAGTGGTTCTTCGTCGTCATAGTCCCGCCCACCTGGTTCGAAGTCTGAACAGACCAGTACTGGTTGAAGGTCGCCGTGTCCTGGATCGAGGGCGCATTCTCCCGGGTCGTCTTGTAGATATTGTAAGTGCCGCCGTCGCTCTCGACGGTGCCGAGAAGGGTAGCTCCAGTGGAGGGGTTATAGGAGCCGTAGCTCTCCAGGATGTAGTATTCGACCAGCGGGCTGGTGGTCCAACCGTACACGGAGAGGTAGCTGTTTCCGCTGGGCGTCCAGGTGCCGCTGTAGGTGACCGTTCTGAATCCATTAGCATTGGACAATGAAGCAGAGAGGAGAAGAAAGCTTACTCGGCACTGGCTGGGTTCCAACCCTTTCCAGCGACGAAGTTGCCGCAGTTAGTCTAGTCGACGCTGTACTGGCCGCCGTTGCCGTTGGTGTAGGTCACCTCACCGCCGCCGTCGGTCCAGAAGGAGTAGTAGTAGCCGTTGTTTGTGCCTGTCTGAGAGGCGGTGATTTGACGTTTGGCTAGCTCGACGTATTTCTCCGAGCCGGGCGCAGCCAGCACGCCAGCGACGGTGGAGAGAGCAAGAGCGAGAGACGAGAAGGAGACCATATTGCAATGATTGCTCGATTGCTTGATTGCTTCGATGGTGAGGAGGAGGTCCTGGTGGCAAATTCATGGCTTAAGTATTCATCGCTTCAGCGGATTTCAGCCGATGAAGGATTACGAATCTCATGATTCAGGTAAATTGTTTCGTTTCATGTTGTGATCGACACCTACTTTTGCCGGTGGGCCGTTAGATATTATAACTGGATTGAACGAGTGATCGGCAGCATTGTCTCAGTTTCGCCGAAATATGAATCACCTGGAGCATTCTATGTCTCGGGAGGAGCGCAGACATGACAGGAAGATTGCTGTGTCATATGATGGTCTTTCACCTTTGACGATACAAGATCAACCGCATTCTCTGGTCTATTTAAGCTTATTGATTGCCAAGGATAGGCTTGAGCACTGCAGAGAAACATCTGGACGTCAGCTTAATGCGTGTCTCAGAATAAGCATCACAAGAGCTGTAGAATGCGGGGCAGATGAAGTATCCCCGGATTTGCCGGCTATGCAAAAAGCGATCATTGAATGTACTTTTACCGGATAAACGATGTCTGAGCAGTAGAATTATCCTGCATAACTTCCATCAACATGGGCTAGAATAGCCTACATTTTGCCGCCAGCCGTGACGATGCATGGAACTTTAGCCGATTGTCGACAGTCGAGAGGAACTAGTCGGAAAAAGTGATAGCTAGGGCTAGATGCTATTTATTTCTTGTTCGACCTGGACTAGTAGATATGTCGTTCTCAGCCATCGAAGCCCAGGATATTATGTTGACAACTTACGCGGCCCAATCTTCCAAGTTCTGTAATGACTCGGATCAGTTTCTGCCGTAGCTATTGAGGCTATATACAATAGCAATTCGCGATGCATCGTTTATTGGCATTGTTGAGTGAAATGATATGAGACCGATATTCAATAGATCTGGAGCTGCAGATATACTCAGTCCATTTATCATGTACCTTCATATAATCAATAAGTGCATACATTATAATCCCCCATTCTCTGTTTTCACCGCAACATACGGCGCTCCAACACGATTCAGCACCTTGACCTCTCGGGGCTTGAGGTACAACGGCACCGTCGCGCAAAATAGTCCTTATAGTACGGCTTATTCGCTTGGACCTAGCCAATATCAGATTCTGCAGCATTTCCTCCTTATACCAACTAAACATACCTATGATCCATTCCTTCGGTTTTGACCTGCCCCCGTCAGCTAAGCTCTTGCATATCAATGGCGGGCTACATACCAGTTTTCTACCCGTGTGACTGTCCCCGGATTCTCAGGTCTTGATAGACCTCGAAGAACGTGCATTCAGGCTCTGCGATGACTTGCTCGTATACTGACTTGAAGGCTTTCCAGAATGTAGGAAGATTCGCAGGGTCAACGTAGACCGTCATGTGGGGAGATGCCTTGGGAGATTGTCATATTGCAGACGAGAGATTGTGAGTTTGAATGGTAGTGATCTTTGTTAGATTAACTGTTGGTATAGGGTAAATTATTTATTCTAGAGATTAACGTTGAGGTGGTGATGATTGACTATCAAGTGGTCAAGCATAACGTTATGCTGGCGCTTGGCGTCAACAATACGGTTTGATTATGCGGAGACATGCGCCTGCTATGGAGGAGTACTCATGGATTGCCATGACATGTCGCTAGACCCGAGAACTGTCTACAAAAGAGAGTTCGCATATTGCAAACAGGTTGCTTGATGGCTTCATTATGCAGCTCTATCGCTGATGTTGATCGTAAGGAGTGACACATTCGGTATTACATGATAGTGAGAGACAGGCAAAGGGACGCAGGCTCCAATGATAATTGAAGCCACACAGATCTAGACACAGACACAGGATAGTCAGACAGGTATTAGAAAAGTACAGCAGTACAGGATGGATCTTGGCTTTTCACTCCTTCACTCATCGCAGTCCTCGGAGTCATCACCGCCCGCGGACGAGTCATCGCCCGAGCCAGCGTCATCACCGCACTCGTCGCAGCCGGAGTCACCGTAGTCATCGCCGTTGTCGCCACCTTTGTCGCCACCAGTAGTCGCGTCCGCGCCAGTCTCGTCGCAGTCTTCACCATTGTCAGAGCCCGACCCACCAGTCGTAGAGGCACCGGCCGAGGCGCTCGCACCGGCACTAGCTGACGCGGAGGCAGAGGCAGAGGCCGGGGCGCCGCTGCTGCCAGTTGCAGAGCCGCCCATGCTGATACCACCGGGGCTGGAGCCAGAGCCGCCAGCAGAACCAGAGCTAGAGCCAGAGCCAGAACCTTTGGTCGAGCCAGAGCCGGAGCCGGAGCCAGTAGTAGAGGCACCGGAGTCACCACCTGCAGAGCCTCCGGCGGAACCTCCAGTAGAGTCGGTAGGAGAACCTCCGGGAGACCCTCCGGGAGAACCAGCCGAGGAGCCACCAGCGGAACCTCCAGTAGAACCAGAACCAGAACCAGTAGCAGAAGCGCCAGTGTCACCGCCTGCCGAGCCACCTGCGGAGCCTCCAGCAAAGCCGGTAGCAGAACCTCCGGGAGAACCACCAGGAGCACCAGAGGCAGAAGCACCGGGAGAACCGGTAGCAGAGCCACCAGGGGAACCACCGGAGTGACCGGGAGGAGAGCCACCAGCAGGTCCACATTCAGAGCCTTCGGCGCAGCCACCAGCGGATCCTCCGGCCATGCCGCCTGCAGAACCTCCAGCAGAACCTCCAGCGGAACCTCCGGCCATGCCGCCTGCAGAACCACCAGCACTCATTCCCCCTTCACCATTTTCATCACAATCCTCGCCGGAGCCAACGCTGACGCCGATACCTTTGCCAAGGAAACCACCCAGACCACCCCCGAGATGACCGCCCAATCCGCCGCTGGCGCCAGCGGAGCCACTGGCCTCACCCTCACAGGCTTCGCATTCAGCTGATCCGCCAAGAGCGTGGGAGAGCAGACCAGACAGGAGGCCGAAGGTACGTGCCTCCACGCGAGGTATCGCCTTGGCAGGGTGGGAGATGGGAGTCAGGAGTCTGCTGCTCCGAGTCGGGGCGGTAGAATCTTGATTTTTGGAAAGAGTATGCACTGGCGCAGCCAGTGTTGAAGTCGCCGAGAGGGCGAGAAGAGAAAGAGCGAGATGCATATTGAACGAATGGAAGAACGATGGGTTTTATTGATTGAGAAGAAAAGAAACGAGAGGAAAAGAAGGAGGAGATGCTTCTACCAGAGGAGCAGTGAGTGGATTGGTGGATGATTAGGAGGAAGAAGATGGGAAGTTGAGAGGTATTTATGCATTTGTGGTCGCTCTCTGACGTTGAGGAGATATTCTTCCTGCCTTTGCAAAGGCATGATTCTATTCCGGGGGGATGAAATGATGGTGTCCAGAGGGATAGGGCTTGATGGTGAACCGAGTTTTGGACAAAGACATGGACATGGGGTGAAACCTGCTAGCAACCCGAGTTGGGGCTCCAAGGGCTGATCGAGTAGCAAGCTACTTTGGGTAACATCGTTGCTACATAATTTGTGGAGACGTCGTTGCGATAGTTCTGTCCACCATGAGTGTCAGCTGCATAGACAAACCATGAACGAGCTGAAGGGATACGAACAGAAGCGAATTCGCGCTTAACATCATGACATTAGAACACGACCTAGCACCCATGACTGCAACGGACGAACCGTCATCATACTCTACAGTGCAGCTTCGAGATCCAATCTCGAGCCATTGCGAATAGAGTTATCCTGGCGGAGACTCCAGCCCTAGCGCGAAAACATCAAGGGAACATCGCACGAACGAGTCCTCGCTCTGAACGGTCCGGCTCCTGGTCAACTCTTGTTATTCGCTCAAGCTCGGGTTTTGGATCGTCTGATGCCGGCTAGACCATGCGATCACCAGGGATCTACTCCGTAGTTCGGTTTGAGATGTTCTAATTTTGGTCTTCCGATTACCCGTACCATGCATAAATCATTGGACTGCCTTTTTGGGCAAAGAAAGCGGGAAGAATCAAGCTGTAACGAACTAGTGATCTACCCACGAAGGCAAGCATGTGCCAGGGATCATGACAACGTTCGCACTTGGGTTCGAAGGTAATTCGAACCCTCGGTATGAGTCTGTCTGTATGAATTCAGTTTCCTATTGGTGTGAGTCAGTCAATGATTCTGTGTAGCCTGTCCACATTCGTAGCGACAGTCCCGAACTCACCAGGTCAAGGCATGTGAGAGAAAGCCAACAAGTCACGAGCCTGGACTCCTGAGCAGTTCCTCTGTTGCAAACCATGACTAGCAGGGCTTGAAACTGGCTAGTTGGCTCAAAAGTGGGTATCACCAAACTCCGATCTTCGATGCCAAGCACCGGACTGTTTCTTCTTTCTGCAGGAACCTTGCAGGCTGGAACGTTCAGGGAAGATGTCTCACTCCTAGGTGACCTATCCATCGGCTCTCGATGCCGGAAGGACCATTAAGCGATGTCGCCGGCTCCTGCTGAGGTCCCACCATGACCGTGAGTGAGTGTGTGTAGGTAGTGAGCAAGTAGATGAAACGCATGGGTCTTGAGTCTCTTGACTAGAGGTAAACAACCCCTAATGCCAAGACCTCGGCTATTGCTCCAGAACCTTCCCCAATGTTGATCTACTTCTGATCAATAATGGGAAAATCTTGGAATTGTTATCTATGGAGTAATATCCCCTGTTTTCAGCCTTGTGGATGTTAACCCAAGTCAACTACTGCTAAATATAGTCATTACTGAAACCCGACTATCCACTCGTGAGGACTCGCAGCTATCCGCAACCTGGAACTTCAACATATGGCGCAATGCGTTATTGCCTCAAGTTACACTGATCCCGGTGCTATAGTGTACGAGGGATATTGCATAGCACTCTGAAGAGTAGGTCAAGCTTTATTATAATTAGGAGTCATGAGCTAGGTTATGTCCAGGTTAGACATAAGTTTAACTAGATAGAAGAGATATTATAATAGAAAGTAATTTATTCCTTCCTAAAATAGCAGTCATAATCTTTAGTAAAGAATAATATAATTAGAAGGAGATCCCTCTACCTTTAGTAATAATATTATTATTATCCTAGTCACCTATCTTAAGGGTTAAGCCCTGAAATAGGTATGAGTAATTAGCTAGAACTAATACTATATTTCTCTACTATATTACCTCCCCCCCTTACTGCCTAGTCACCCTTAATAGATCTCCTAAATTAAGGAGTTCTATCTTTATTATAAGACTTAGTATTATCTTTATTATCCTTATTATTATCTCCTTTTCTATTATTATTCTTATTATTATCTTCTTTTCTATTACTATTATTACCTTTATTAGGCTTCTTCCTACTATTATTAGCTATACTAGTAGTATTATCTTTATCTTCCTTATTATTATTAAGATCTACATCACCAGCACCCCTAGTAAGGTCTAGCAGAGGAATATTATTATTTCTTTTGTCCAAGGTGGACATAAGTTTATTTACCAGAGTCTTAGGCGTAATTATAAGTATTTGTCACGGACTAGAAGCCATATAAATCTATAACCTAGATTTGGATGGTAAGAAATTGCTAAAAGGTTCTAACTAGGGCTGTGATGGCTGAATATAAAAAGGGGTGTGTAAATGGTTAATAAGGTTATATAATAGGGTTGATTATTATATTAATTACTATGAGATCATATGACTACTAGTATTCTTACTAGACATAAGTTTATTAGTGCCTAAGGCAGATTATAAGTGCCTAATAAGGTTTAAGTATTTAGTAGGCCCTGCCTGCTACACTACCCCCCCTCTTATATTAGGGCTGGTATGCTTCCTAAGTATTAAGTACTACTATATTAATAAAGTTAATAGCTAGCTCCTATATAGGCTATTTATAACCTACCTATTTAATAAGGTACTCCTTCTAGTAGCCTCTTCTAACCTATTTCTTATGCTCTTATAAGATTTCTTTAACTAGGTACTTAGCTTTATTATTAACTAGTGTAGCTAGCAGTTAGTAGTTATTATTTAACTAACTTAGGAATAGATTATTAGTAGTAGGGTGCAGGAGGCTAATATAGAATATATTATAGATACTAGGAGGCATATCTAATTAGTATATATATAATCTAATAGCCTTAAGTACTATAAATTTTATATACTATATATTAAGCTTCTAGCTTAGATAGTCTATTTAGATATTCTATAAGTCTAACTAGACCTTTAATTTTATAGTATACTATAGGGCTACTATATAGGAGTAGTTTAAATACTCTTCTTAGTATTACTAGATAGTAGCTAGTTCTAACTAGGCCATCTCTATAACCTTCCTTATCTTTATTATAATTATTATAGCTCTATCTTTTAGTAAATAGGCTATACTAGTAGTAGTAGCTTTATAATCTAGTTCCTCTATCTCTAGTAGCTTAATATTATATCTATAATCTAAGAAGAATAGGCTAACTCTTATACTTATAGCATCCCTACTATTAATAGTAAGTTAGGCTATTAGTAATAATAACTTCTAGTTACTTTAAGTATAGTTATAGAAGTTCTATAGGTAAGCCTCTAATATTATATTTATCTATTTAATCTAACTATCTATCTATGGATAGAATACTATTAAGAGTTATTATTAAATACTTAACCTCTTATAAAAGTGCTCCTAAAACTAGCTAATAAACTATAGGCTATAATCTAATATAATTATACTAAGAATACTATAATATCTAATAAACTAGTTAATTAGTAGCTAAGCTACTATCTTAGCATCTATTTACTTATAGGGTACTAAAATAATACCTTTCCCTAGCCTATTACTAATAACTATAATATCTTTATAGCTATTAGAAATAGGTAGTTTTATAATAAAGTTAATAGTAATCTTATACTATTTATAATCTAGGATTAGCAGGGGTTTTAATAATCTTTATTATTATTTATACTAGACTTAGTTAGTGCTATACTTATTATAGTTCTATATAAATTATTTAATATCTATAGATAGCTCTAACTAATAAAAGTTCTAAGTAATTATAGTATATAGTTGTCACACCCTGGGATCCGTCTCTGCTGTTCTATGCTAGTCTTATTAGAACAGGGTGATATAGTCCCTAGACTATATCCAATACTTGCCTGTGGCCTACCTACCCAGTAGCCTTATAGATGTAATGATACAATGACCTCTCAGGGATTAAGGATAATCTAAAGGTAATATAAGAATAATAATAGTAGAGATAGAAGCAAGGCCTATTAAGTATATATACTTAATAGTAAGAGAGTAGCTAATAAATTAGACTAGCAACTTTATACTTAAGTAAGATATTAATATTAAATATAAGGAACTAAACTAAGAGTGCTAGATATAATAATAATAAGTATCCTTATATATCTATAGTTCCTCCCAGTGGTATATATATTAGTATATATTTAATATAGATATGGTATATTATATACTCTAATAGAGTGGTCTTAGCATACTATTTATATACTACCTAGTTATATATCAGGTGTAATCCTTATCCTAGTGAATCCAGCCTAGTGCCTAAGGCTCTATAGAGTAATTCTAGGTGATGATGGAAAGGCCATAATTATATATAGCTTTATATTAGGAACTTATGGTCTTCCTATGATTCAGTGATTATAATTTAGTTAGTTATTATTATTCCAGGATTCTGCCTGTCACGTCCGCCTAACTTTAGTGCAGCTGTGTTGGTGTTGTAACATATACTAATTTACTCTCTTAGCTACTATTTTAAAACTAATTATCTTTATTATTATTACTAAGTCCCTTATATAGTAATAACTATAGCTAATTCTTAATAGATAATCTATAATATTATTATCCTATTTTTCTTAGATTTAAGCCTAATACCCTACTATTCTTTTTATAGTTTCTACTACTATCTTTATAATATCCTCTACTTCTTTCTATAGTACTTTATCTTTCTTTTTCTATTTATTAAATCTATTAATCTTTCTAATAGCTTCCTAAATAATATATATCTAGGTATTCTAGACTTTTTATTATAGTAGTATTCCTTCTCTAATCTCTTTATAAATTATATACTTCTCTTTATCTATCTTATATAGCTATAGTTTTTAATTAAGTTTTTCTAATATATTATTAGCTTCTCTTATCTAAGTTTTAATATATATCTAGCTTACTATTATA